CATCCAATCTTATGGAAAAATGCTTGGTCCCTGAAAATCAGGCACAAACAGCCCTCTCAAGTCAAAGCAACCAAACCACGCAATCTTATGGGAAATCACGCAATCTTATGGGAACCTGTCTGGTCCTTCAAGCAGTTAAGAATAAACATAGCACTGGGCCCTCCAATCTTATGAAGACTCTCCCAGCCTTTGGTTGACCTAGTCAAACACATTCAATACAGCCTTCCTCCCACCTTTCTCCCAGATGCAATCCCTTTTTCCAATCTGCTTTTAGTGAAGCAATAAAACAGAAAACTGAATTTGCACAAACATTCCTTTACTTAATCCTGGTTTGTCCTGAAAGTCAAACTGGAAGTCAGAGTAGGGATGCAGGCAATATACTCAGTCAACCATAGCAAGACGTACAGGTAGGGGTTATAACTAGGTTTATAGAGGGAAAGCAAATGATTACCTCTCAGTTCCCTGCCTCCAGAACTCCTCCCGAGTTTYGGCAGAGCTACCGCAATCGGTGGGCTGACTCCCCACAGAGTCTTTCTGCGGTCTTACGGGTTGCAATCCCACCTGCCGCCTTCCTCTCAGAACAGGATTAGACTTAAGAAGGGCAGAAAATAAGGGGTTTCAGACTCTCGAGATACAGGAGGTGGACAAACTCAACTCTCATGAGAGGGCCTTGTAATCTTCAGTCGCCTGAGGGCCCCGCAATGGTAGCCAAAACACGTGGCAAAAGTAGTCAGACCTTAGTCAAGGCGCATAGTTACGACCTTCTGACGATCCCCCCAAATCGCAATAGTAACCCCCCCTTTGCAGAGTCTGACCACCCCTTCAAAGGACTCAATCAGTTGCAGCAGTGGCACAGGTAGAAGTACAATGGTACTCTAATAAATATTCACACGGTGCTTCAACACAATAGATAACAACTGCCTTCTTCCGTACATTATAGTCGCTCCCAGTCAGAAACTCAACCACAATGGCGACCCAAGATAGGCTAAATAACCCTTCTTAGTTCCTTTTTCGTGAGGCTAAAAAAACTTGTCTGCCTTTATGCAACGCAGACCCGCTTTTCTGTGGAAGCCAGCAACTGTAACAGATTAAGGATAGCAGCAGTAGTTCAAACTTAGTCACTTTGTACCAGCAGCAAGTTATAGGAGCCGCAGGACTTCAGTCTTCCCTACTGTAGTAGCCCGAGGCGGTTGACATGCATCCCCACAATGTGCAGTACTAGTTGTCGCTGATAATAACAACGGTCGGGGTCTTGCTAAAAACCACAGCCTTCCGAACTTTTAGGAACAACACCGGATGTACCGTAGTAGCAGATCCCGCTCTTGCAGACGTCCTCCACGAGCAGGTACGTATTCTCACGTCTCTCTTTCTCTTCCTTCCTTTATCAGCTCTCTGCTTCACCGCCTTTACTATTTCGCTCCTTTACTGCGACTCCCCGATTGTCTCCTATCCTTTTTCCAACGGCTACATCCCCATATGTTCATAGCACATCTGAAACTTCGATCATATTGCTCTTCTCTCTCCTTTCACGCCTGGCCAGTTCAGCGCACTGAAAACAGTCTGCTCAAAGTTTTCGTTGATCCTCACAGTCTGGTCAGGTAAGCTTTCTTTCCTCTTTGACGTATGTGGCTGGTACGTTGGCCTGGCTGATACGCTCTACCGCACGCTTATGCGAGAATGCAAACGCTGAAGGCACATAATACCACTACCGCAACTGGCCACCACGAAGCATGACTGAGAAAAAGAGCTTGAAGGCTGCGAACACGATGCCGACGGCGATCATTATGCTAGACACGACGTTGTCGGCGATGTGTAACACCTGAGAAACACAGTCAGGTAAGCGAGTAGCAGGGTGGGGGTGGCAACCGAAACTACTACGAAAGAAGACGATGGTAACGAATCGGGAGAATCGTGAGATCAATCAATCATACGAACGGCACGTTTGGACTCATGACGGCGACCCCGGGGGGGGGGGGAATGACGACGAAATCGATCCATCCTTTCGCGACTGTAGTAACGGGCGCCTTACATATGCTATATGAAAATGGATCTTCCGCTAGAACGCAGAGCTGTGCACCGCTCGTTCAAGCCGTTCATAGAGCGAGATCGGAGGAGGCTATTTCCATCAGTAAAATGCTTGCAATTAGAATGAATCTTCCCCTAAAGTGCACGAAGATACATAGTACTTTTTAGAAGAACGCTTGAATTACTTTCTTGGGCGCAACTCCTACCAATCGTTTCTCAAATTCTACTCACCAGTAACTAAAACTATCCTTATAATCATCTTCGTGACCATGGAAAACCCCCACTTAGCATTCTCCCTCGCCTGATTCCCTTAGGAATCGAACGAGGTTAATGAGAACTGCCGCGACCATACCCGACATCGTCATTTCTCCCACGCAGTGCCTTTTTCAGTTAACTCTTCTTCTGCTAATCCTACAACAAATCTAACCCCGCCATTCATCTCGCCCTATCACAAAACATTGGAAACGAGCCTTCATTCGCCCGTTTCCATCAAGAGACGGGTGAGATCGAGACTTCCTACCCTCACTTCTTCTACTCCATCACCCACCCTCGCGCAGCTCATTCTTGCTCAATTGTCTATCTTACTAACCGATCTCCAAAACCAACCCCGTCATGCGAGTCGCCCGGGGCAAGAACCCCCGGTTTGCATCTTCCCTCGACTGTTTCTGATCAGAATCGAGCAAGCCAAGGCACTCATGCTTCCGCCATAGCCGCTTCTCCCCCGGCACTGTGCTCTTCTCTTCTGCGCACGCACCCGACGCAGAAGCCCGTCTAGGTTCGTCCTCCTCTATGCCTCCGTTCGCCTGTGCCAAACTGTGCTTTAGCGCAGCCACTGCACAGGGGCGGAACAACGCAGCCAGCGGGGGCGATCATGGAAATAGGAGTGTGTAACAACTCTCCTCCGAATCTGTCCGCCTCGACAGTAGCCGGCTCTGAAGCGTGTGACCTGTGCTCGGCAGTCGTGGCTGCTCCAATGCCTGCAATAAGTAGGAGGGCGTAGGCCTGCTGCAAGGCCTGCAGCGCGAGTCTTAGTGACTCGAATCCGGATGCAGATTTTGGTGGTAGTAACAAAAAAAATTCAAGTGGGACATTTGAAGACGGAAGTGGAGGAGGGTTCCATGGGAACAGCGGCGTGCGCTAGGCGACCTCCTCCTAACATAGTCGTTCTTCCTTGTCTTTGTCTCCGATTGCATCTGGCACGAAAGCGCGACTAGATTCTTCCTTCTTTTGTAGGCAATACCTCCGCTCACTTTCACTTTTGCTAGTTGCATTCCCGTCTGCCTCCCTCTACACCATTACGGCGCTCGGTACCGGCAGCCCCCATTGTACTCAGCAACATCTTTTCGGCAGCTTCCACTGTTCGTCTGGGAGGTATCCAAGAGAGAACCAACCACTACGAATCCGATTAGTCTCCCGCCGCCTATACCTGAGCCCGACGAACGACCCGCACAGTGGTATTGCAGCTGCTTTCTCCACTGTGTTCCGTGACGCCCGCTGGTGCCGAAACGGTGTGCTAGCCCGAACACTTACAAGAGGCATAGGCTGTTGCAAACGGCCAGATCGTGATCATGAAAGAGTCGAAATCCCGCCAAGGAGTTGATATCTGGCGAATCACTTAACCCCGAAGGCGGGTGGCGTGGCGGTAGAGGAGTTCTAGCTCTTCGAAAGCGGGTAGGAGCGCGGCCCACCACAAATCCCAAGGCATGGGCCTAGATGAACAGGCCTCGCCGGATTTTGGTGATGGTAGCAAATGCTCAAATGAGAACTCTGTAGTCCGAAGTGGAGAAGAGTACCTCAGAACGTCATATCATATCTCGCAGGCAAGAAGAAGGGATACAGGCGGTGAACACAGGAGATCAGTGATTGGATTGATCAGGCACAGTTTCATGCCAGAGCGCCTGACTTGGTGTGGCAAGTATAGGACTATCTCGCCAGTACTGCTACTAGAACCAGAATCGCGATTTGGCTGAGGACCCTGAGGAACTGAGTGGCGACTTCATCACAGGGTAGCGCTAACTAAGATTGACTGTTGGAGTCAACCCTACACTGTATTGACCCCATTTGGGTCCATTTCCAGTGTCAGCGGATCAGGGAGAAAGTGGCGAAGTATCTTCTCTTGACTGTCAGAGTGCCACCGGACTAGATTCAGTGAATCTAGTACAAATGATTGAAGCGCCTCAGTGTTTTCTGCAAGTTCAACAAGTTTGGTGAGTTTCTATGCGTGGAGATTGGAGGAGCTCTGGAAGAAAGTGGCGAGAAGGGAGTATATTGTCTGCCATAGCCAGAGCTTCTTCCTCGTCTGCAAGAACTCTCTGAAGTGAGTATGTTCCACCCAGAACTCAGTATAGTGAATTATTTAGTGTCAGTATAGTCAGAATTGATGGTCTATTTGTGAGTCTACGCCTGACGGCATGACAACCATAGCCATCTTCTTCCCCATCTTCTGTTTCTCATATCTCTCCATCTGCTGACTCTTTCTGGCTTGAAATCGTTATGTGACTGCTTGACAGTATTGCGCTAGATATTGTATGCTCAGATTGTGAATTCTGTCATGGAAAAGTGGTGATACTATGAATTGTAATTTTGCGTTGAGTCTATCTATAGCATGTGCTACCTAGGGTCAGTGATCGTTACGATTCTCTCCATCAGAATTCGATTCTGTATGTTTCTAGTGAAGCGCAATTCTGTTGTTGACACTTGGGCAAGAACGCTTGCCCAGATTTGCAGTAATTCAGCAGATGTGAAAACTGTGATCCGCCATACCCCTAGGTATGGCCGCCAGAGTCATCAGTGGCGAAATTTGAGTCTGAGTCTGAGTCTGGGTAGAAGTCTATTGACTAAATCGCTGAGTCTTGTTGATATGTGCTTGTCTGTACTTACCTTTTCATCTCTCCTACTGATTGCTCTTGTTTTCTAGTGGGCACTGAAACTTTAGTGACCTCTCTGGAAAGGCTAGAATTGACAGTACTAACTCCAGTGTGGTCCTGGGTCAATCAAAAGGAAATCGTGTGTTTGATTTTGCTGGACTGTGTGTTTGTCTGTGACTTCTGGCCTCCAGAGAAGGCTTCTAACCCAAATCGCTTGTTGAATATTTACTCACCTACTACTGTGTCAGAGGTGGCTGCGTTCTCTGTGTGTCTGAAAGAGGTCCGAGAATCGCTGCATACTCTGTGTCTGTTGTTCAAATAACTTATTGTTCGAAGGGAGAAAAATGTATGAGCAAGGTGCAGACTCGCAGCCACAGGGAAAGAGGAACCCCACAATCCTCTAGTCCACCTCCTCCTCTGACTGCGACCCAGCATTGTGTTCAAGAGATGAAGGAGAAGCTGCAGCAGCAGCATGACCTTCTAGAAGAGTTGGAAAGGCAAGAGGCAGCCGAGATGGAAGCTGCAACAGATGCGTCCTGCAGGACGTATCTGTTGGAGCAGCTGGCCAGAATAGAGGCCAAATGGTCGGTTCTCATAAGCGAATAAGTGTATGGCAAAGTGGATCCGACTGGACCACAAAGCCACAACTACTTATTTCACTAACTGGGATGACCAGATGGCACGGCTAGAACGTCGTGTTGATGATCTGGCGGCTCACCAAACAAAGATCCTAACAGCAATAGAATCTTTGGTTGCTTAACTGACAATTGCTGATATTGTTGTTTCCTCCCCTCTGTCTTCGAAACCTCTCAAACCTTCTCCTCCTCCTTCTCACCCTACCAGTTCCAGACATTCTTCCCCTCCGCCATCTCCTCCCTCAAAAGCATCAGTCCCAGGGACCACTGTCCCTCCATCAGGTGATCAGCGGATCTTTCCCAAGATCCCAGCCCCCAACAAGTTCAAAGGAGATGATCCCAAAGTGGATGTTGGGGACTAGGCCGCTAGTGCAAGAACCTACCTGAGAGGCTTCACCTGCCCTGAAGAGAAAGGTCTCTACTGTTCTAGGTCTGTTTGAGGGCCCCTCTTTGAAGTGGCCCACTTCCACCTCCAGTAGCGAGGACAAGAGACTGGAAGATTGGGCTTTTGGGTTGGGAGTGGACGGGCTTCTGCAGGCCCTGGAGGACAGATTTGCAGATAAGGAGCGAGCCCGAAAGGCTGCTGACAGGATTGCTCGCCTGGGACAGCAGCTGTATTTAGGGTCCCTTCACTCCTTGTTTGCAGAGTTCGAGCAACTCACCTCCACCCCTGGGTTAGTCATGTCTACTGATGATTTGCTGACTAACTTTTGCAGGGCAGCGCCTAAGAAGTTCGTTGCAGCATTGTACAACTCTGGGCACAAGGACTGGAGATCCTTTGGCCGCGCAGTGCTGGATACGGAGGCAAAACTCCATGTCCAGACCCCCTCCTCTGATAGGAGGAAAAAAGCCTTCCCTCGTGGTGGAAAAAGGGGAAAGGCTGCTTTTGCTCTTGAAGGTTTTGGATCAGCAAGTGACTCAGATTCCCAGGCTGTTTCACCACCTGCTGGGACTGCATCACCTGCTGATACAGAAGTTGCTGCGGCCCTGACTGAGGCTGTACTGGTGGTTTTACAAAAGAAACCCCCCTCCAACACATCCTCAACCAGCAGCAAGGGGAAGGACAAGGGACGTCGTCCTTTTACCCCTGCCCAGAGACCTAATCTGCCAAGAGACGTCCGCATGCCAACTGACCCCCTGAAGCCTTCCACCCTTCCCTGGCATGATCTGAGGATCCAGGAAGGGGTGTGGAGGAGGAGGAAGGATAGTGGGGTCTGCCTGCGATGTGAGGGACAACACTACCTGAAGGACTGCCCTTACATGCCAGGCCTTGGGTCACAGCCAAAAAACTGAAGCAGACCCTAGGGCAGCAGCTCCCCCTAGTGCTGCAAACTCATCTTCTGAAGAAGGTGAATCTGCAGCTGCTTTAGTAGATAGGCCTTGTGTTGGAGTTGTGCGGGCAGCATCCTTTTGTTATCCGGATCCTGACCCGGATCAGGAACTGGAGGAGCATGAGGCTCAAATGTTTGCTTCCCTCTTCCTTCATCTGAAGGAACAACGGAAAACCAAATCTGAACTCATCCTACTTCAGCCCCTGATCAACCACACGAGAATCAAGGGTTTGTTGGATTGTGGAGCCACTTGGAACTTTATGTCACCTAATGCAGTTAAAAAGTTGCATTTGGGTCTAAAGGTAGAGACACTGCAGCAACCGCAGCAGGTCCTCATAGGGGACTCCACTATCCTCACTATCAGGGATAAGGTCAGGGGCATCCGTGTGGCCTTCAATACAGCTGGAGAAGTTAGACATAGTCTGAACTTCTATATTTTCCCTGATCTTCCCTTTGATTAGGTGTTTTCTATGCAGTGGCTACGGGCAGGCAACCCTAGGATCGACTGACAAATTCCTAAGGTTGAACTCCCCAATATGCAAGGGGTGTATCAGTCATGCATGATTGCTGCTAAACACCACCCCAAGACCTCCTGCTACTGTTTAGGAGCGAGGGAGTTCTATACTCTCTCCCGCCAGTATGACCATGAGCGTCTGTTCTTGGCCCTCGTCAAGCAAACAGACGCTACAAATGTTCCCTGTCCTTCTGAAGTCTAGCAGGTGGTGGACCAGTATGTTGATCTGATGCAGGAGCCTGTTGGGTTACCCCACCGGCCAACCAAGCATCAGATCGAGCTGTTGCTTGGAGCGGTCCCTCCAAAGGGCCGCATCTACAGGATGTCCCCTGCTGAGCTTGAGGAGCTCAGGAACCAGCTTCAGACCCTGACCAGCAAAGGCTGGATCAGACCTAGCACATCTGAGTTTGGTGCCCCTGTCCTCTTTGTTCCCAAAGGGAATGGGGAATTCAGGATGTGCATAGACTACACGGGTCTCAACAAAA